CCATGAGGTCGTTGTGAGGCAGCCAATCAGCGACGTGCACGTTGCGTCCCCTGGGCCAGGCGAGGTCCGCGTGTCGCCAGAGGACGCAGAGGGGAGCCAGGCGGGAGAGGGCGGCGCTCATCTCGCCCAGCAGACGCTCGTCGGACACTGACGAGACCATGGAGCCCAGCGAGACGAGGACGAAGCCGCGGGAGCACGGCCCAGACAGCAGAGAGTCTAGGGTCTACGTGGAGACACGTAGAGACACACACAGACTCATAGAGATTCATAGCGACACATAGAGACCCATACAGACTCATAGAGACTCACAGAGACTCAGAGATACGTAGAGATAGTTAGTGACTCGTAGGGACACATAGAGACTCATAAAGACACATAGAGACTCATGAAGACACATAGAGACTCACAGAGACTCATAAAGACACGTAAAGACACATGAGACACATGAAGACACATAGAGACTCATGAAGACCATAGAGACACAGAGAGACTCATAGAGACACATAGAGACACATAGAGACACAATGAGACACATGAGACCCATACAGACTCACAGAGACTCATAGAGACACGTAAAGACTCATGAAACACATGAATACACATATAGACTCATGAAGACCATAGACACGCACAGAGACACGTAAAGACACATGAGGCATAGAGACCCATACAGACGCATAGAGACTCATAGAGACACGTAGAGACTCACAGAGACACATAGAGACACATAGAGACACAAAGAGACTCGTGGAGACACGTAGAGACTCATAGAGACTCATGGAGACACATTAGAGACACGTTAGAGACACATAGAGACCCATACAGACGCGTAGAGACTCACAGAGACTCAGAGATGTGTAGAGACCCACACAGATGCATAGAGACACATAGAGACACATAGAAACACGTAGAAACACATGAAGACCATGGAGCCCAGCGAGACGAGCACGAAGCCGAGGGAGCACTGCCCAGATAGCAGAGAGTTTAGGGTCTACGTGGAGATACATAAAGACACGTGAAGACACGTAGAGACTCACAGAGACTCCTGGAGACACCTAGAGATAGGTAGAGACACATGAAGACACGTAGAGACTCATGAAGACCATAGAGACACAGAGAGACTCATAGAGACCAATAGAAACACATACAGACTCATAGAAACACGTTAGAGACACGTAGAGACTCATGAAGACCATGGAGCCCAGCGAGACGAGGACGAAGCCGCGGGAACACGGCCCAGACAGCAGAGACTCAAGCGTCTACGTGGAGACACATAGAGACACATAGAGACACATAGAGACACATAGAGACCCATACAGACTCATAGAGACTCACAAAGACACGTTAGATACACGTAGAGACTCATGAAGACCAATAGAAACACATAGAGACTTGTAGAGACACACACAGACCCATACAGACTCATAGAGACTCACAGAGACTCAGAGATGCGTAGAGACCCATAGAGACTCACATAGCCTCATAAAGACCATAGAGACAGAGAGACTCATAGATACCATGGAGCGCAGCGAGACCAGCACGAAGCCGAGGGAGCATGGCCCAGATATCAGAGAGTCTAGGGTCTACGAGGAGACACATAGAGACCCATACAGACTCATAGAGACTTGTAGAGACTCAGAGACACGTAGAGACACATGAGACACATGAAGAAACATAGAGACTCATGAAGACCATGGAGCCCAGCGAGACGAGGACAAAGCCTCTGGAGCACAGCCCAGACAGCAGAGAGTCTAGGGTCAACGTGGAGATACATAGAGACACATAGAGATACACACAGATGCATAGAGACACGTTAGAGACACGTAGAGACACATAAAGACACGTAGAGACTCATAAAGACTCATAGAGACATGAAGACCATAGAGACTCATACAGACCATAGAGACACAGAGAGACTCATAGAGACACATAAAGACACATGAGACACATGAAGACACATAGAGACCCATACAGACTCATAGAGTCTCACAGAGACACGTAGAGACTCATGAAGACCATAGAGACACAGAGAGACTCATGAAGACAATGGAGCCCAGGGAGACCAGCACGAAGCCGTGGGAGCATGGCCCAGACAGCAGAGACTCAAGCGTCTACGTGGAGATACATACAGACTCATAGAGACTCACAGAGACTCGGAGATATGTAGAGATAGTTAGAGACTCGTAGGGACACATAGAGACACATAAAGACACATGAGACTCATGAAGACACATAGAGACTCATAGAGGCTCACAGAGACACGTTAGAGACACGTTAGAGACACAAAGAGACTCGTGGAGATGCATAGAGACCCATACAGACGCATAAAGACTCACAGAGACTCGGAGATACGTAGAGATAGTTAGAGACTCGTAGGGACACATAGACACACATAAAAACACATGAGACACATGAAGACACATAGAGACCCATACAGACTCATAGAGACTCACAAAGACTCAGAGATACGTAGAGATAGGTATAGACTCGTAGGGACACATAGAGGCACGTAAAGACACATGAGACACATGAAGAAACATAGAGACTCACAGAGACACGTAGAGACACATAAAGACACATGAAGACACATAGAGACTCATAGAGACACGTAAAGACACATGAGACACATGAAGACTCATAGAGACCCATACAGACTCATAGAGACTCATAGAGACTCATGAAGACCATAGAGACACAGAGAGACTCATAGAGACCCATACAGACTCATAGAGACTTGTAGGGACACATATAGACCCATACAGACTCATAGAGACTCATAGAGACTCTAAGAGACACGTAGAGATAGGTAAAGACTCGTAGAGACACACAGAGACTCATGAAGACCATAGAGACACAGAGAGACTCATAGAGACCCATACAGACTCATAGAGACTTGTAGGGACACATATAGACCCATACAGACTCATAGAGACTCATAGAGACTCTAAGAGACACGTAGAGATAGGTAGGGACACATAGAGACACGTAGAGACTCATGAAGACCATGGAGCCCAGGGTGCTGGTGGTGGTGAGTGAATGAGCAGTCAGAGAGAGTGTCTTGCCATTGGCAGCACTAGCGTTTAAAAACTACAAACTACTTTGTATTTTGCAAGGTGAAAGACACTTCCTCATCATCATCATCACATAGAGACCCATACTAATAGAGACCCATAGAGACCCACACTCATAGAGACCCACAGAGACACATACTCATAGAGACCCACAGAGACCCACACTCATAAAGACCCACAGAGACACATACTCATAGAGACCCATAGAGACCCACACTCATAAAGACCCACAGAGACACATACTCATAGAGACCCATAGAGACCCACACTCATAGAGACCCACAGAGACACATACTCATAGAGACCCACAGAGACCCACACTCATAAAGACCCACAGAGAGCCACACTCATAAAGACCCACAGAGACCCACAGAGACCCAAACTCATAGAGGCCCACAGAGACCCATAGAGACCCAAACTCATAGAGACGCACATAGACCCACACCCATCGAGACCCATACTAAAACTAAACTATATTTACGTCTTTTTATATTCTTAAGTTTTTACGGTAAAGTCACATAGGTAAAATTAAAATAAATTAAAGTAAAATAAAAATCACGACGTTTCGGAGGCAACACAAGCTTCCGTCTTCAGGCGGAACCGTCACAGCACGATAGCTGTATCAAGCAAGAGAAACTCCAAGAGACCCGTCACTGCATATATACTGGTTGAGGGTGGGAGGAGCCAAGGCAGGCACCTGGATCGGAGCTGTGTATTATTGTTGTGAGGCCGCCGCTAGGAATGAGCCTTTGTCGTGTATGCAATGCGAGCGTAAATAGGCAGGTCGGATGTGACGATCCGAGAGGGAGGAGTCAGGGTCACGTGGGGGAGGGGTTATAGGAAGGAGACCGGAAGACATGAGGGGAGTCGAGAGATTGAAGAGGGAGACCACGTTGGGTGGCCGCCGTGCCTCAGCCTGGTGGCTGAGGGGCTCATGACGGTGCCAGCCAGTGGGGTGAGGAGAGAGCAGAGTGCGCGGGGCGCACAGGGCGTGCAGGGGTTGCACGGAGCAGCCGAGTAGCTGCAGAACTAGCGGAGGCTAGCACAGGGCATGCGAGGTTGCACAGGCAGCAGAGTTGCTGCATAGCGGAGCAGCAGTGGGGCTGCATATGGAGCAGCAGGGTAGCTGCAGAGTGCGCGGGGCGCAAGGAGAGACGACGCTGGGCCGAGGAGGAGGCCAGCGGGGTGAGCGGAAGACGAACACAAATAAAGGACCGACGGAGATCAACATCGTGTGACGGAGTCCTTTATTACATGTAGACTGGTTGAACTGGGAGGTACCAAGAGTTGTTAAGGTGCGGCTGATGTAAAGGTGCGGCTGCTGTAAATGGGACTGAGCCTTTGTTACGTAGATGAAACAGCCCTTTGCTATGTTGATGAATTTCTCTTACTTGATACAGCTATCGTGCTGTGACGGTTCCACCTGAAGACGGAAGCTTGTGTTGCCTCCAAAACGTCGTAATTTTTATTTTACTTTTTATTAATTTCATTTTTTTACCTACGTCACTTCACCGAAAAAAACATAACAATATGAATCCTTGCAGTCACGAAAGCTTCAAATCTAGAATTATATTTACGTCACCAGGTGTAAGGCTCCGCTAAGCTGCTGCGTGGCTCTCTGTTCAGACAAGGGACCTGGTCATTACAAACGAAAGCAGCATCGTTATCATCACCGTGAGGAAATGGACATCAGCAACCAAATGCTCAAGACGCGTAGAGACGTTGAATGTAAATGTGGAGACAAAATCAACGAGTGAATCAACGAGACCTGTTCTTCACCTGAGGACGGCTGCTTGCGTTGTGGCCGAAACGTCGTGAGAATTGTATTTTATTGTGTTTTATTTTTATTATTTTATTACTTCCCTTCTACGTGACTTTACCGAAAGAACCAAGAAGATGAATCCCTGCAGTCACGAAAGCTTTAAATCGAAAAAAAGATGATGTTGATGATGTAGATGTTGATGATGTTGATGATGATGTTCATGATGATGATTATGTGAATGACGCTGTCTTCACGACAGACCTGTTCTTCACCTGAGGACGGCTGCTTGCGTTGTGGCCGAAACGTCGGGAGAATTATTTTATTATGTTTTATTATTATTCTTTTATTATTTCCCTTCTACGTGACTTTACCGAAAGAACCAAGAAGATGAATCCCTGCAGTCACGAAAGCTTTAAATCGAAAATCAACGCAGTGACCACCACGGAGAGAGAGACAAACAGACTCCAAATATACAGCAGCAGGAGGCATTGTTAAGGTGCCTGATCGAACCCACGACCTCCTCCATACCAAGTGAGGAATTTATCATCTCGGGGGATCTGGGATTGAACCGACATCGTCCCGATAACATCTGCCTATCCATCACCGTGCCCTTACAGGCATCTTTGGGGTCTGGGATCGAACTCACCAACCTTCTGCGTCACGGGCGAGGTAGTCAACATTTCCCAGAGTCCGAGATCGAACCCACGAACTCCCGCATACCGGGTGAGGTAGTCAACATCTCCCAGAGTCCAGGACGAACCCACGACTTCCTGTGTACCGGGAGAGGTAGTCGACATCTCCCAGATTGAACATCTCGGGGGATCTGGGATCGAACCTACATCGTCCCGATAACATCTCCCTAGCCATCACCGTGCCCTTACAGGCATCTTTGGAGTCTGGGATCAAACTGGCCAACCTTCTGCGTCACGGGTGAGGTAGTCAACATCTCCCAGAGTCCGAGATCGAACCCACGAACTCCCGCATACCGGGTGAAGTAGTCAACATCTTCCAGAGTCTGGGATCGAACTCACGACCTCCCGCCTACCGAGTGAGGTAGTCAACATCTTCCAGAGTCTGGGATCGAACCCACGACTTCCCACGTACCGAGTGAGGTAGTCAACATCTTCCAGAGCGCAGGATTGAACCCACGACCTCCCGCGTACAGGACGAGGTAGTCAACATGTTCTAGCGTCAGTGATCGAACCCACGACTTCCTGTGTACTGGGAGAGGTAGTCAACATCTCACAGAGTCCAGGACAAACCCACGACCTCCCGCGTACTGGGAGAGGTAGTAAACATCTTTAAGAGTCCAGGACGAGCCTACGACTTCATGTGTACCGGGCGAGGTAGTCAACAACTTCCAGATTCCAAGATCGACCCCACGACCTCGCATGTACCAGGCGAGGTAGTCAACATCTTTCAGAGCGCAGGATCGAACCCACGACATCCCACGTACCGAGAGAGGTAGTCAACAACTTCCAGAGTCAAGGACGAACCTACGACTTCCCGCATACCGGGAGAGGTAGTCAACATCTTCCAGAGTCTGGGATCGAACCTGCGACTTCCCGCATACCGGGAGAGGTAGTCAACATCTCCCAGAGTCTGGGATCGACCCCACGACCTCCCGCATACCGGGAGACGTAGTCAACATCTCCCAGAGTCCGAGAGCGAACCCACGACCTCCCTCGTGCCGGGAGAGGTAGTCAACATCTTACAGAGTCTGGGATCGATCCTGCGACCTCGCACGTACCGGGAGAGGTAGTCAACATCTCCCAGAGTCCAGGATGAACCTACGACTTTCCGCGTACCGGGAGAAGTAGTCAAAATCTTCCAGAGTCTGGGATCGGCCCCACGACCTTGCACGTACCGAGTGAGGTAGTCAACATCTTTCAGAGCGCAGGATCGAACCCACGACCTCCCGCGTACAGGACGAGGTAGTCAACATGTTCTAGCGTCAGTGATCGAACCTACGACCTCCCACCTACCGGGAGAGGTAGTCAACATCTCCCAGAGTCCGAGATCGAACCCACGCCCTCCCGCCTACCGGGAGAGGTAGTCAACATCTTCCAGCATCTGGGATCGACCCTGCGACCTCGCACGTACCGGGAGAGGTAGTCAACAACTTCCAGGGTCTGGAATCGACCCCACTACCTCGCGCATACCGGGCGAGGTAGTCAACAACTTCCAGAGTCCGAGATCGAACCCACGACATCCCACGTACCAGGCGAGGTAGTCAACATGTCCCAGCATCTGGGATCGACCCCACGACCTTGCACGTACCAGGCGAGGTAGTCAACATCTTCCAGAGTGCAGGATCGAACCCACGACCTTCCGCCTACCAGGAGAGGTAGTCAACACCTTCCAGAGTCTGGGATCGACCCCGCGACCTCGCACGTACAGGACGAGGTAGTCAACATCTTCCAGTCCCGGATAAAACCCGCAACCTGCCGCGTACCGGGCGATTGAGTCAACATGTTCTAGACATAGTGATCGAACCCTCAACTTCCCGCCTACCGGGCGAGGTAGTCAACATCTCCCAGAGTCTGGGATCGAACCTACGACCTCCCTCGTGCCGGGAGAGGTAGTCAACATCTTACAGAGTCTGGGATCGATCCTGCGACCTCGCGCCTACCAGGCAAGGTAGTCAACATCCCTCGCTCACCGGTGGCAGAGGACGCGGTGGCCTGGCGAGGAGGCCGCCCACACAGACGGCGTAGGGAGGGAGAGGCCGGGCAGACTCGAGGGCGAAGTCCACGTTAAAGAACCACATCTCAGGCTGGGTGGACAGCTCCCACAGGGTCGGAGCAAGACCACTCGTGCCTCCAAGGTGTCTGGGAAACAACCACACAGAGAGAGACACGCCATGTGTGTGAGGCTGTGTGTGAGTGAGTCTGTGTGAGTATGTCTGTGTGAGTGAGTCTGAGTGAGTCTGAGTGAGTGAGTGAGTCTGAGTGAGTGAGTCTGAGTGAGTGTGTCTGAGTGAGTCTTTGTGAGTATGTCTGAGTGAGTGAGTTTGAGTGAGTGAGTGAGTCTGAGTGAGTGAGTATGAATGAGTGTGTCTGAGTGAGTGAGTCTGAGTGAGTCTGTGTGAGTATGTCTGAGTGAGTGAGTGAGTCTGAGTGAGTGAGTGAGTCTGTGTGAGTGTGTGTGAGTGTGTCTGAGTGAGTGAGTCTGAGTGAGTGAGTCTGAGTAAGTGAGTCTGAGTGAGTGAGTCTGAGTGAGTGTGTCTGAGTGAGTCTGAGTAAGTGAGTCTGAGTGAGTGAGTCTGAGTGAGTGAGTCTGAGTGAGTGAGTCTGAGTGAGTCTGAGTGAGTCTGAGTGAGTGAGTCTGTGTGAGTCTGTGTGAGTATGTCTGAGTGAGTCTGAGTGAGTGAGTCTGAGTGAGTGAGTCTGAGTGAGTGAGTGAGTCTATGTGAGTGTGTCTGAGTGAGTCTGTGTGAGTGAGTCTGAGTGAGTGAGTCTGAGTGAGTGAGTGAGTCTATGTGAGTGTGTCTGAGTGAGTCTGAGTAAGTGAGCCTGACTGAGTGAGTCTGAGTGAGTGAGTCTGAGTGAGTGAGTCTGAGTGAGTCTGAGTGAGTCTCAGTGAGTCTGTGTGAGTGTATCTGAGTGAGTCTGAGTGAGTCTGAATTAGTCTCATTGAGTCTGTGTGTCTGAGTGAGTCTGTGTGTCTGAGTGAGTCTGAGTGAGTCTCAGTGAGTCTGAGTGAGTGAGTTTGAGTGAGTGAGTCTGAGTGAGTCTCAGTGAGTCTCATTGAGTCTGTGTGAGTGTATCTGAGTAAGTCTGAGTGAGTCTCAGTGAGTCTGTGTGTGTGTGTGAGTCTAGGTGAGTCTGAGTGAGTGAGTCTGAGTGAGTCTGAGTGAGTGAGTCTGAGTGAGTGAGTCTGTGAGTGAGTCTGTGTGAGTATGTCTGAGTGAGTCTGAGTGAGTGAGTCTGAGTGAGTGAGTCTGAGTGAGTGAGTCTGAGGGAGTGAGTGAGTCTATGTGAGTGTGTCTGAGTGAGTCTGTGTGAGTGTGTCTGAGTGAGTCTGAGTAAGTGAGTCTGACTGAGTGAGTCTGAGTGAGTGAGTCTGAGTGAGTGAGTCTGAGTGAGTCTGAGTGAGTCTCAGTGAGTCTGTGTGAGTGTATCTGAGTGAGTCTGAGTGAGTCTGAATTAGTCTCAGTGAGTCTGTGTCTGAGTGAGTCTGTGTGTCTGAGTGAGTCCGAGTGAGTGAGTCTGAGTGAGTCTCAGTGAGTTTCATTGAGTCTGTGTGAGTGTATCTGAGTAAGTCTGAGTGAGTCTCAGTGAGTCTGTGTGTGTGAGTGAGTCTGAGTGAGTCTGAGTGAGTCTGAGTGAGTGAGTCTGAGTGAGTGTGAGTGAGTCTGTGTGAGTGAGTCTGTGTGAGTGAGTCTGTGAGTGAGTCTGTGTGAGTGAGTCTGAGTAAGTCTGAATGAATATGTGTGAGTGAGTCTGAGTAAGTCTGTGTGAGTGAGTCTGGGTGAGTCTGAGTGAGTGAGTCTGAGTGAGTCTGAGTGAGTCTGTGTGAGTGAGTGAGTCTGTGTGTCTCTCTGTGAGTACTAAGAGCCATATCTCAGGCTGGGTGAGTCTGTGAGTGAGTCTGTGTGAGTGTGTCTGAGTGAGTCTGAGTGAGTGAGTCTGAGTGAGTGAGTCTGAGTGAGTCTGAGTGAGTGAGTGAGTCTGAGTGAGTGTGTCTAAGTGAGTCTTTGTGACTATGTCTGAGTGAGTTTGAGTGAGTGAGTGAGTCTAAGTGAGTGAGTCTGAGTGAGAGAGTGAGTCTGAGGGAGTGAGTCTGAGGGAGTGAGTCTGAGTGAGTGAGTCTGTGTGAGTGTGTCTGAGTGAGTCTGAGTGAGTGAGTCTGAGTGAGTCTGAGTGAGTGAGTCTGGGTGAGTCTGAGTGAGTGAGTCTGAGTGAGTCTGAGTGAGTCTGTGTGAGTGAGTGAGTCTGTGTGTCTCTCTGTGAGTACTAAGAGCCATATCTCAGGCTGGGTGAGTCTGTGAGTGAGTCTGTGTGAGTGTGTCTGAGTGAGTCTGAGTGAGTGAGTCTGAGTGAGTGAGTCTGAGTGAGTCTGAGTGAGTGAGTGAGTCTGAGTGAGTGTGTCTAAGTGAGTCTTTGTGACTATGTCTGAGTGAGTTTGAGTGAGTGAGTGAGTCTAAGTGAGTGAGTCTGAGTGAGAGAGTGAGTCTGAGGGAGTGAGTCTGAGGGAGTGAGTCTGAGTGAGTGAGTCTGTGTGAGTGTGTCTGAGTGAGTCTGAGTGAGTGAGTCTGAGTGAGTCTGAGTGAGTGAGTCTGAGTGAGTGAGTCTGAGTGAGTGAGTGATTGAGTCTGAGTGAGTGAGTCTGAGTGAGTGAGTATGAGTGAGTGTGTCTGAGTGAGTCTGAGTGAGTGAGTCTGAGTGAGTGTGTCTGAGTGAGTCTGAGTGAGTGAGTGAGTCTGAGTGAGTGAGTCTGTGTGAGTGAGTGAGTGAGTCTGTGTGAGTGAGTCTGAGTGAGTGTGTCTGAGTGAGTGAGTGAGTCTGAGTGAGTGAGTGAGTCTGAGTGAGTGAGTCTGAGTGAGTGAGTGAGTCTGTGTGAGTGAGTCTGAGTGAGTGAGTCTGAGTGAGTGTGTCTGAGTGAGTCTGAGTGAGTGAGTCTGTGAGTGAGTCTGAGTGAGTGAGTCTGTGAGTGAGTCTGAGTGAGTGAGTCTGAGTCTGTGTGAGTGAGTCTGAGTGAGTGAGTCTGAGTGAGTGTGTCTGAGTGAGTCTCAGTGAGTCAGTCTGTGAGTGAGTCTGTGTGAGTGTGTCTGAGTGAGTCTGAGTGAGTGACTCTGAGTGAGTCTGAGTGAGTGATTCTCTGTGAGTGTGTCTCAGTGAGTCTAACTGAGTCTGAGTGAGTGAGTCTGAGTGAGTCTGAGTGAGTGATTGTGAGTGAGTGATTCTGAGTGAGTGAGTCTGAGTGAGTGAGTCTGTGAGTGAGTCTGTGTGAGTGTGTCTGAGTGAGTCTGAGTAAGTGAGTCTGAGTGAGTGAGTCTGAGTGAGTCTGAGTGAGTGAGACTGAGTGAGTTTGAGTGAGTGAGTCTGAGTGAGTGAGTCTGAGAGTGAGTCATTGTGAGTGTGTCTGAGTGAGTCTGAGTAAGTGAGTCTCAGTGAGTGAGTCTGAGTGAGTCTGAGTGAGTCTAACTGAGTCTGAGTGAGTGAGTCTGAGTGAGTGAGTCTGAGTGAGTCTGTGTGAGTGAGTCTGAGTGAGTCTGTGTGAGTGAGTCTGAGTGAGTCTGTGTGAGTGAGTGAGTCTGTGTGTCTCTCTGTGAGTACTAAGAGCCACATCTCAGGCTGGGTGGACAGCTCCCACAGGGTCGGGGCATGGCACCCACGCTACCCAGGTATGGTGATGAGTCCATGACTCTCTGTGTGGTGATGAGTCCATGACTCTCTGTGTGGTGATGAGTCCATGACTCTCTGTGTGGTGATGACTCTATGGCTCTCTGTGTGGTGATGAGTCCATGACTCTCTGTGTGGTGATGAGTCCATGACTCTCTGTGTGGTGATGACTCTATGGCTCTCTGTGTGGTGATGAGTCCATGACTCTCTGTGTGGTGGTGAGTCTATGGGTCTCTGTGTGGTGATTAGTCTATGGGTCTCTGTGTGGTGATTAATTTATTTGTCTCTGTGTGGTGATGACTCTATGCGTCTCTGTGTGGTGATGAGTCCATGACTCTCTGTGTGGTGATGAGTCCATGACTCTCTGTGTGGTGATGAGTCCATGACTCTCTGTGTGGTGATGACTCTATGGGTCTCTGTTTGGTGATGAGTCCATGACTCTCTGTGTGGTGATGAGTCCACGACTCTCTGTGTGGTGATGAGTCCATGACTCTCTGTGTGGTGATGACTCTATGGGTCTCTGTGTGGTGATGAGTCCATGACTCTCTGTGTGGTGATGAGTCCATGACTCTCTGTGTGGTGATGACTCTATGTGTCTCTGTGTGATAATGACTCAATGGCTCTCTGTGTGGTGATGACTCTATGGCACTCTGTGTGGTGATGATTTTATTTGTCTCTGTGTGGTGATGACTCTATGGGTCTTTGTGTGGTGATGAGTCCATGACTCTCTGTGTGGTGATGAGTCCATGACTCTCTGTGCGGTGGTGAGTCTATGGGTCTCTGTGTGGTGATGAGTCTATGGGTCTCTGAGTGGTGATGAGTCTATGGCTTTCTGTGTAGTGATGAGTCTATGGGTCCCTGTGTGGTGATGAGTCTATGGGTCTCTGTGTAGTGATGAGTCTATGGGTCCCTGTGTGGTGATGAGTCTATGGGTCCCTGTGTGGTGATGAGTCTATGGGTCTCAGTGTGTAGTGATGAGTCTATGGGTCCCTGTGTGGTGATGAGTCTATGGCTCTCTGTGTAGTGATGAGTCTATGGGTCTCAGTGTGTAGTGATGAGTCTATGGGTCCCTGTGTAGTGATGAGTCTATGGGTCCCTGTGTGGTGATGAGTCTATGGGTCCCTGTGTGGTGATGAGTCTATGGGTCCCTGTATGGTGATGAGTCTATGGGTCTCTGTGTAGTCATGAGTCTATGGGTCACTGTGTGGTGATGAGTCTATGGGTCCCTGTGTGGTGATGAGTCTATGGGTCCCTGTGTGGTGATGAGTCTATGGCTCTCTGTGTAGTGATGAGTCTATGGGTCTCAGTGTGTAGTGATGAGTCTATGGGTCCCTGTGTAGTGATGAGTCTATGGGTCCCTGTGTGGTGATGAGTCTATGGGTCCCTGTGTGCTCAATCTGTTCATCATCGGCGCACTTACTTCCGTATGACCGCGTCGAACTGCTCCATCTGGTAGCCTCCACCGCAGCCACCCTCACCACCACCCTCACCGCCACCCTCACCACCACCCTCACCGCCACACTCACCGCCACCCTCACCACCACCCTCACCGCCACCCTCACCGCCACCCTCACCGCCACCCTCACCGCCAGCCTCGCCACCGCCACTGTCCATGGCGTCGTCCCTCAGTCCGTCGACGAACCCGCCAGCCCCTCCTCCACCGCCATCTCCTCCCCCTCCTTCCCCAGGGTCATCGCCCGGAGCGTCGGGCAAGCCGGGCGGCTGGCCCCGCCGCGGGAACCCGTCCGGCTGCACGGCCACGGAGCGAGCGCCGAGGGCTCGCGCCAGAACGAACGAGCACGGGTTGAAGGCGTCAAGAACGGCCACGTGGGGGCGCACGCGAGCCATGGCCGCCATGGCCCCCGCGTCAGAGAGGATGACGTCACACTGGCGCGCCATGTGACCGTAGAAGGCGCGGAAGCCGGCCACGTGGTTCCTGCGATGGTGCGACGGACAGAGGGGGAGGGGGTGGCGGTGGTGGTGGGGTTAATGTCTGTTTGTGTAAGTCTGTGTGTGTGCCTCTGGGTGTGTGTGTGTCTGTGGGTGTCTGTGCGTGTGTCTGTGTGTGTATCTGTGTGTCTGTATGTGTAAGTCTGTGTGTGTCTCTGTGTGTGTCTCTGTGTGTGTGTCTGTGGGTGTCTGTGTGTGTGTGTATATGTGTGTGTCTGTATGTGTATGTGTGTATCTGTATGTATGTGTAAGTCGGTGTTTGTGTCTGTGTGCATGTGTTTCTGTGGGTGTCTGTGTGTGTCTGGGTGTCTGTGTGTGTGTATGTGTGTGTCTGTATGTATGCATTTGTAAGTCTGTGTGTGTCTGTATGTGTGCCTCTGTGTGTGTGTCTGTGTGTGTGTGTATGTGTGTGTTTGTGTCTGTATTTGTCCGGCAAAACAACCTTCTACCTCCTCGCGGTGCCGGACGGGCAACACTGTCGTGGGCAGTGCTGTGGGGGGAGGGCCAATGCCCATTAGCCTCTCCCCTCATGGCGTCTGTGACCACCACAGTGGCTAAACGGGGGCTCTGGACGGGTGCGAGGGGCTGGTAACCCCTCCACCTTCAATTAACCACCACTAAACTACGAATTAAACATAAACCTGTAACAAATAAGCTTGTGCCGGAGGCCCCGGGGGGTCAGGCTTTTATGACGTCTCCTGGCCAAACCCCATTTGGCGGAGCCAGGAGATTGAATTTTCAC